ATACATGTTTAGACTTATGGAACACGGGAAGAAAACAGACCCTTCTACCCAGATTGAAACTTACAGAAATTTCACAAAGTAAAAATGAATAAAGGACCCAAGTACCTTAAAAAATATTCCCACTGGGGAAAGCAAGCATCCAACTCCTGAAACAGAGAAATGCAAATGAGCCAATGTGCAAAGAGCACTTTCCGCCAAATATCATCATTAACTAGTGCGAGGAGAATCAGCTAATCAGAATCCAAGCAACTTGTAGGAAGACGCAAACCACGTCAGTAGCAGGACCTAAGGTCGGGTAACATTGTGTGAGCATAGGTAATAAACCATTCCTTCCTCAGGAGATCGCGCTGAGCCACCTTCTGGACTGGACTATGTAGCTACTGACTTCTGCTTTAATATCATCGTCAGCGCTTGAGCTGAAGGGGCGAACGACTGTTAGTTAGGATTTCTCAGAAACAAAGCCTGATGTGGGTTTTGGATTTCGTACTCACGCATTTAAGACCACAAGAGAGACAAAGGCAACAAGAGGTATTTTTAGCACCAGATTCAACACCAATACGTATTTTCCTGTGGAAAGTGCTCTTGATTAAGCCCAGTACACTTGTATTATTATTATTATTATTATTATTTTCCACTTCAGGGCAGAGAGGATGCTTGCGGTTCTTTTGTATTATAACAGCACGATTACAAATGGTCATGTGGCATGAGGTCGCAGTCCCATTTCGGAAAGGCCTTTCCCTCTGAGAGCGCAGGTGGGCTCTCTCATTAGAGCAAAGTGGTGCTGAGTCTCGTGCACTAGGAGCAACCAGAAATTTAGTGTACTTCAAATATCTTATTTTAGAAGACATGAGGTTGGTTGAGCTTGGGAAAGCCTTTCCTTCTGGGTCTCTAGAAGGCTATGGTGTTCTGTGAGGGCCCCCAGAGGGACACGTGGGTGGGGAAGGTCACCATGAGGAGGATTTTACTGCCTGAGTGGCTCCAGTCTGGCTTGGAGCCCCGCTCATCTGCAGGCTGTGTGAGTGCAGAGGTCCTCCTGGACCCCGAATATTTAAACAGTGAATGTGAATTGTCTTGGTGTGAATGGGAACTTGGTCATTTTCAGTTTAGATCTGGAAGTGTCCCATGTTGGACGAACTTTGGTTAATGGGTGCTTTCTTAGAAAAGGGATGCTTTCATGGAGACAATTGTTTAAAAAAACATTTGAGATTTTTCTGCCTTCACTTAAAATCCTATCAGAGAGTAGAAATTTTTATTTTGAAAAATGTTCAGGGAATATTTCCCAAGGTATATTACTTCTTTAAAATAAAATCAGTCTTGAGCTTCCCAGCCTCAGCTTGCAAGAGGCTAGTGATAAACATCTCAAAATAGCCAAAAGAAGTAAGAGATGCCGTGGGTATTGAAATAGACTTAACATGACTTAATTTTTACTTCTCTAAATTACAGTGCTCTGAGATGTCCCACAGCCTACACAGACACTTCTCTAGAGAGCTCATGCAAGTAAACCCAGGAGGACTTAAAGCTTTCTTTGTTTAAGAAAACTTCAGTTTTGAAATCCTGTTCCCCAAGTATGCAACTATTTCGCAGAACTTTTGAACTTTGTATTTCTGCCTGACATTTTGCAGCTATAGTTGGGCCATAACAATTATGTGCTGGGGTTCCAATGTGGTGGAAGACGGAAGCCACTCTTGCAGGTGAGGGTGTACCTCCTGAGATGACTTCTGGGAGGGCAGGTGGGCTTGTGGAAGCTCTGATGTCTTTCCGACCAGGTCCCATGTTCTACCCAAGATCCGTGACTGTGAGGGGGCTGGAGACCACCCTCTGGCCGATAGGACCTCGTTAGACAGAGTGAGAACTGCCCTGCCCTGTGCATCCTCATGGATTGAGCACCTGCCTACACCTGTGGCAGGCACTAGGCTAGCTGCTTTCCCAGGAAAATCCTCCTAGGATCACATTAGCCCACTGGTCACCCTGATGCACTGACCACTGACATGCATTTGTCATGTGATGCTTGTAACAAATCTGCAAGGAAGACATTGCAGAGCCTGTTCTGGGATGAGGGATTTGAGTTTTAGAGCATTTCGATAATTTGCCCAAAGTCACAAGGCAGTTACTGGGTGGAAAGAGATTCACACCCAGATCTGCCAGGTTCCCACTCCTGTGTTCTAGCCACTGTGCCCTGCATCAGTCATTTGGCCCTTGCAGCGACCCTGGGAAGCAGAGGCTATTCGAGGTGATGAAATCAGGTTCAAGTGACTCTCTCTGGGCTCTGAAGCTCCTGAGCACCAAGCTCACAGAGTTCCCGCCCAGATCTTGACTCTCACGGTTCAGGGCCTTACCGATTGCTTCCCCTGACTAACCGTGACACTGGGATGGCATCTTCCAGTAAAAATAAAACAATCACACACAGATGCACAGGCAAATAAACACCGTTGCCGACACCAGGAATCGACTTCTCCCACTTTTCATTGCTTCATTCCCTTAGGCATCTTTAAAAGGAAGTTTCAGTGTAAAAATGTAGCAGGTGAAAGAAACCCCTGTCTCTTTTGAGTTAATCAGAAATTATTTGGGAGGGGTGCCTGGGTGGCTCAGTTGTTAAGCATCTGCCCTCGGCTCAGGTCATGATCCCAGGGTCCTGGGATCGAGCCCCGCATCGGGCTCCCTGCTCTGCGGGAAGCCTGCTTCTCCCTCTCCTTCTCCCCCTGCTTGTGTTCCCTCTCTCGCTGTGTCTCTGTCAAAAAATAAATTAAAAATCTTAAAAAAAAAAAAAGAAATTATTTGGGAGAAGTAGAAGACAAACTTAGGGTAGGATCTAAAAAGCAGGCCATTCCTATTTCTGTACTGGTAAAACAATGTATGAAGAAGAATTCTCCAGAGAACGTGGTGCTATTTATGCAGTTATTTTGGCTTTCTGCAAAATTATCTCCTTATAACAAAGAACTCATTATTGCTTTGGAGGAAGTACCATGTTGTCTGAAGATTCTCTGAATATATATTGCTTTGCTGGGGGAAAAACTCGTCATTATTCACAATGTTTCTCTTGGAAATAAAACGCCAAAGGTATAAGAAACTATGCTAGGCCTTCCCATGGATCACCTCTAGTCCTTAACAACATTCCTACAGGTAGGAATAATTTCTACTTTACAGCTGAGGAAACCTGACACTCAGAGAGAGTGAATAACTTGCCTGAGGCAGCAGAACTAGTAAATGACAGAGCTGGAAGATTAATCCTGAAGTTTTAGTTCCAAGCCAAAGCTGGGGCTCTTGGGCCGGGGAGGGGGGTGGGGATCTTCCTGCTCCCTGTAACAGGTAGCTTTCAAGAACATGACCCAGAGCAAGAAGCCAGGCCAGTTTCTGTGTGAGGCCAGGCTTGCTTCCATCTCCTAACAAGACAAGGCAGGAGATTCAAGTAGAACTTTCAATGGCACCAACAAGTCACCATCTTTCTGAGAATCTCATGGATTTGGGTGTCCCTTCAAATTCATCAGTGATGCCAGGACAAGAGCTAATGGGTGTAAGTGAACATTGCAGTTTGGAGAAAAACCTGCCTTAACCTGTCAGTGTCTGCTTCTAACTATGCTTTTTCAAAATGTACACGAAAGCCACTTTGTTTTACATAGTCATGTATCTCTGTTTATCCTAAAAATTGCTTACAGAAACTAGGTGGTGGTAGCTACTTAGATACTAGATTTCGTATGCTGAGCCAGTCATCAAGGAAGATGAATAATAAACCAGTTTTCAAATTTGGTGTTTGCCTTTGGAAACTCGAGTCTTAAATAATTAGTGACAGTAATCTCGAGGCCAACGCTCGGTGCATGGTGGAACACATTCTGTGTCTTCACTTTTGTGCAGAAACTGCACTTTGCTACACAATGAGATACTTTAGGCTATGCATTTCTGGGCAGTTACAGCATTTCTCAGGTGTGCGAAGTCAGTGTTCCGTCTTTATGAAGTTTTCTGGGCTGAGTTTCAAATGCCCCAAGCTCAGCACCCGGCATGCCTAAGAAGCCATTGTCGGGGCTGACTGCCTTACGGTTGGGCTTCTCTTTGGGCGCCTTTTTTTCTTTCTCAGTTGGATGAAAAAGTACATGTTCTTAGTCTTTTTTTTTTTTTTGGTTAGAATAAAATTCCAAAATACTGCCCCAGACCTACAGAGAGAACCCATCCACCTCGTTGAGAGGAAGCAAAGGAAAGGAGAATTGCCAAAGAATCGTTAAGATGCATATGTCATTCTCCAAAATGATCGAAAGCCCTGAGCAAACTGCTGGATGACATCTTGTCAAGAACACACCGGGTCCTCAGACGCGGCGGGTAATAATGCAGAGGGACAAGCATTCACGTTAGCATTTTTTATCGTGTTTGTGTGTTGCATTTCACACCCCCGACCCCCAGGCCCCCCCAAACATGCACCAGAAAGCCCCCAAAAGCCCAGAGGACTAGTGGGCTGGAAGCATTCATTACGTTGGTAGCTGAGGTTCGTAAGAGGCCACAAAACTGTCCTTCTGCAACTGGAATAGAGATTCAACAGTTTTATTGAATGTCAAAGCACAGAGTTCTGCCCAGCTGCTGGAGAGGTGCCGCAGAAGGAGGGTTTCTCTTCCATGACAAACACCTATTAAGCAGTCAGCATAAACTCTTCCCTTACAACCTCTGACATCACCCTCGGGGCAGGCAGACACAGAATAGCAATTGCTGAATTGCACATGAAAATTATAGTTTTATTGTCTATACAACTGAAGGTTTAACTCGGACTCCTGCTTCTGTCCGAGCTGTATAAAGAAGCAATTCTTCTCTGAGAACAAATAAGCACAGTACGCTATTGTAATCTAAGAAACAGGCACTATTTATGTATTGGAAAGCCTTGCTCTCAATAGGGCTAACGGTCCAATGGCCCATAAGCCACTATTTTAGCAGCTGTAGAAAAGAAAGCTGTAGAAGTCACCAGGAATGAGATACCGAAAGTAGCAGAGACGGATGACGGGAGCGCGGGACCGGGAGGGGAGCCCGCGCCCGCCGCGGCCGCCTGCCGCTAGTTGAGCACGCACGATTCGTAGGTGGGGACCATGTACTTGATGTTGATGAACGCGTCCTCCCCGCCGTAGCGCTCGAGCGCTTGCAGCGTCTCCTGGATCAGGTCGCCGATGTTCTCCCTCTTCTGCTGGCTGTAGTCGATGCCATCTCCCGAGTTCACTGGTTCAAACACACAAAGAGCCCCGTTATTGTGCCGTTTTCTCCAAAAAGCCCTACACATCCGTCTAGGCATTTTCTCCGAACGCTTGTTAGGAGATGCAAGCATGCAACACGTTCTAGGTGATCTTGCGGAGTTTTAGGAGCGCTAACAACTCTATAAAAATACAAAGCCCCACACTTGAGCTGCTGAAAACTCCTCTGAACTAAAGAAACAGCAGACCAAAGCTAAGTGGGGTGATCACAGTTACACGACAGATCACAAATCTCGTCTGACAACGGTAAAGAGCGTTCTCTTGGACCCTGAGTTCTTCAAAGTCCCGACAAAAGAACGGTCTCTCATCAGGGCGTTGGCCCTACGCGGTTTGAACGGATATACTCGGGAAGGAGAGGCTGAGCCCGTCCCTGTGCCTTTGGTGCTGTTGTACCTGCCCCTTCTCCAAGTGTCACTCGTCTGCAATGATTTCCGTCACCCCGGGTGTGGGTGGGCGAGGAGGAAACTGCCTTTCCTGCTGTGGCTGCTCTTGCTCATCACTGAGCAGGATCAGAGCTATGAGTTATGGTTTCACAGGGACCCAGCCAAGGCCGGGCCTCGCAGAGCTTTGAAGGGGCCTCTGCAGCTTCCCCTCAGGTTCTGTGAGGGAAGGGACTCCCCGGATCGGCCTCCACCTCAGACGATTTGGATGAGAAGTATCTGATTGCGCCCAACCTGTACGGTGTCTGCAGGAATTAACCCAGGTCGGGGGGTGGGGGGTGGAGTTTGACTAAAACAGAGACCCTTGGCTTCCAGCGGGAGGATGGAGGTCCCGTGAGGTTTCCCCCAGGGGCTGTCTTTGACACACATTCATGCTGCACTTCACTCACAGATTTCCAAGGGCTTCGGCCACACTTGTGCTCCCAGTAAGCGGGGCATTATTAGGCCTCTGCCAAGTTGCCGACATCAGCCCATCTTATCTCTGCTGAAGTGAGGTGCAGTGGATGGGCTTGGGCCGCGGCTGCATAGGGCAGGGAGCTGCAGATAAAAGTCCTTATTCTATCCATATTTCAAGTATGGCTCCAAAATGTTGATTTTGCTTGAATGTGAAAATTATAGAGGGAAAAATGGTATTTCAAACTTTTTTCCTCAGTTATTTGGGACACTTAAGGACAGATTGAGTAATGGTTCAGACCAGTATTGAAAGTAACAATTGCAGCCCCACATGGCAGAGATCAGCCGTTCTTTTGCTTGATTTTTCCAGAAACTTATTAGAGAAATATCAGTCTTCTGTAGCATAAGGAAAATGGGAATTGTTCTCCTGGTTAGTTTCTTTCGGTGGGGCTGAAGGCAGGCAGAAATATCACTGATTTTCAGAAAGTGAGATTATGAGTCAAATAGCTATGGTGTATATTAATTTTTCGTAACAAATGATCTTATAATGCAAAGCCATTGTCATTAGGTGGGGTTTTCTTTTTTTTTTTTTTAGAGAGAGAGTGTGTGCGCGCACTCGAGAGAGCGTGAGGTAGGGGGGAGGGGCAGAGGGAGAGGGAGAAAGAGAATCTTAAGTAGGTGCCATGCCCAGCGCAGAGCCTGATGCAGGGCTCGATCTCACAGCCCTGAGCTGAAACCAAGAGTCGACGCTTAACCGACTGAGCCACCCAGGCACCCCAATTAGGTGGGCTTTTCTTGCTCATGATGGAAGCATTTCTGTGATAGCACAGACAGCTCGATTTAATGTAGGGATACAAAGGGGCACATGCACCCAATGTTTATAGCAGCAATGTCCACAATAGCCAAACTGTGGAAAGAGCCTAGATGCCCATCAACAGATGAATGGATAGAGAAGATGTGGTATATATATATATA